AGAAGCGCCTGACCTGGGCTACAGAGAAGCAGCACTGGACTGTTGCTCAGTGGTCCAAAGTACTTTTTTCGGATGAAAGCAAATTTTGCATGTCATTCGAAAATCAAGGTGCCAGAGTCTTGAGGAAGACTGGGGAGAAGGAAATGCCAAAATGCCAGAAGTCCAGTGTGAAGCACCCACAGTCAGTGATGGTCTGGGGTGCCATGTCAGCTGCTGGTGTTGGTCCACTGTGTTTTATCAAGGGTAGGGTCAATGCAGCTAGCTATCAGGAGATTTTGGAGCACTTCATGCTTCCATCTGCTGAAAAGCTTTATGGAGATGAAGATTTCATTTTTCAGCATGACCTGCTCACAGTGTCAAAACCACTGGTAAATGGTTTACTGACCATGGTATTACTGTGCTCAATTGGCCTGCCAACTCTCCTGACCTGAACCCCATAGAGAACCTGTGGGATATTGTGAAGAGAAAGTTGAGAGACGCAAGACCCAACACTCTGGATGAGCTTAAGGCCGCTATCGAAGCATCCTGGCAGTGCCACAGGCTGATTGTCTCCATGCCACGACGCATTGAAGCAGTCATTCATGCAAAAGGATTCCCGACCCAAGTATTGAGTGCATAACTGAACATGATTATTTGAAGGTTGGCGTTTTTTGTATTAAAAACACTTGTCTTTCATTGGTGGGAAGAAATATGCTATTTTTTTGGGACAGGCATTTTGGGTTTTCATGAGCTGTATGCCATAATCATCAGTATTAAAACAATTAAAGATCTGAAATATTTCAGTTGGTGTGCAATGAATCTGAAATATATGAAAGTTTCATTTTTATCATTACATTATGGAAAATAATGACCTTTATCACAATATGCTAATTTTTTGAGAAGGACCTGTATATGCTTCCATTAGGTAAAGTTATTAAACAGCATGGGATAAATTTCCATTGCTATGCTGATGACACACAATTATATTTGTCCATTAAACTCAATGAATCATATCAGCTACTTAGACTACAAGCATGTCTTAAAGACATAAAAACCTGGATGGCCCTTCATTTTCTCCTGTTGAACACAGACAAGACTCAGGTTTTGGTTTTTGGACCTGAGCACCTTAGGAATGATTTTTTTTCAGTCTTTCTCCCTCCTTAGATGGCATTAATCTGTCCTCCAGCTCTAATGTTAAAAATCTTGGTGTTATTTTTGATCAGGACATATCTTTTATCCCCCACATTAAGAACGTTACTAAAACTGCCTTCTTCCATCTGCGTAATATCACTGAAATTAGAAACATCTTGTCAAAAAATCTCCTGATGCATGCTCAATAATCCAGGTAGAAAAATCCAAAAAAGTTC